AAAGATAAATACTATTATATAGGCCGTACGTCTTTTGAAACCAAAAGGGACATTGGTGTATAGTACATGCACTATCACAATAGCAGAGAATGAAGGAATTATCGCTTGGGCATTGAAACAATTTCCAAAATTGCAATTACAATCTGTTAAAGATCGAATAAAAACAGATAAATATGGCACTCGAGGATACATTATAGATGGTTTAACGAATGAGAATGCGAAAAAAGTATGCAGATTTGGTCCTGAAAGTGATTCTATTGGATTTTTTATTGCATGTTTGAAAAAATGTTGATGAAATTGATCGAAGCTGTATTACACAATACTTTAATAAAAAGAGAGAGAGAAAAAGAAAGTTTCTTTGTTGATTTAATAAATTTGTAATATTTTTTGCTAAAATCTAAAAACTTTATTGTCATCTTTTTTACGACAGTAAGTAAAGAAGAAGAATTTAAGAGCGAGGAGGGGGGGGGGGAGATTAAGAAAGTTTGGAAGAAGTAAAAAAGTGAACATGCCAAGAAAAAAAGAGAAAATGCCTATTTTGAAGACCTCTTCTCATAAAAAGAATTTTTTTGTTTCTAAAAATGGAATTTCTGCAACCTACTTTATAGTCATATTCCGATATACTTACACTGCTAGTACCGAAAATCTATAATATATATCACGTGAAGTATAGACTTTCAGTCCTAGTAATATTTATAATGGTCATTGCTTCTTACCATTGTGTTTATAATATGATTGTGTGCGTGCGTGCGTGCGCGTGTGTGTATGGTAAAATGATACATTTTTGTGAATAAGAATATTATATATATAAATAAGTATACCTTTCTACACTATTGTTCGTACATAACTCCATCTCCGATGATCTCTATCGTTATCACGGAACAATTATTGCAAATCGTATATAATGTTTCCATCTAATTTTAGAAAAAAGAAACTTAGAAAGTATTGGAACATGTCTAGATACACATGTTATACAAGTACTTGAGTTGAGATCTTTCCATATTTAGTACTAGGTATCATATGCAATTTCCACTGAAGTATCTAAGATACTTTATCAAAAAAGTATCTGTGGGTACTTTTTTGAAAGTATCTAAGTACTTAGATATTTTAGCGGAAATTGCATACCATACTTACTACCTATAAAATATAGAAAGATTTCAACGCAATTTATAGGTACATACTTGTGTATCTAGATATGTTCTAACACTGGGAAAAAAAGAAGGAAAGACATCTAACAGAAAAGATATAACAAATTTTTGTTTGCATTATAATTTACATGCATTCCATGAGCATCAGGGGAGAAGTAGAGGTACAGATATATATGCTCTTGTGGTTTGAGGGTAAAATACACAGGCCATATAGCAAAAGGTGGTAAAATCAGTATATTATTGTTAGTAACATCCTAAAGTAAGATAGAAATATACTTGTATAATTATTGTCAATAACTATACTTTTCTATTTTTTTATAGTGTCATTATTTTTACCTCGATGTGCATCGAACACCAATCTATTTCGCTCGTAATAAAGAATCTTCCCTCGCCACCGACATTTTTAATCATCAGGAGTAAGGTAACTTGTTCACCTACCAGACACTCCCCACAATCAAAGCTCTTTAATTTCCTATATCGCATTACATTTTCTGTAGATGTATCTGATGCACTCGTACCTGTGTCGATAAACTGTAAGTTTTTATTAAAATAGTTTTTTAACTAGTAATTGCATAATTATTTTCAATGTCATTAAAAATTAGAAAATAGAGCTATACTTCCTCGTAAGAATCCGTTTGTCGATATGGAATTTCTATAATCCATTTCGTATCTTTCGCTATTGTTTGCAGTTCTTTCACTGAATATTGGAAATAGGGGATATTAATCACTATAAAAAACAATGATATGCATACGTGTGTGTGCGTGTGTGTGCGCGCATGCGCTTTGGAAGATTACAATCCTAAATTTTTCTTACATACCGTATCAATTTTATCTTCTACATTTTATACCTATATATATATTTTACATATTTTTTCATACATGCAACTTATACACGTACCAACGAATTTATTACAATTGTAAATTCATTTACCTCTCAATAATGGTGGATCTCGATACCCGCATAATTTAATAATTACCGAACGTCCTTGTTGCACATTTATTACTAACGTTTCAGTAGGTTCGTCCAAGACGTCGCAACGAAAAAAAATAATCAATTTTCTATGCATCCCTGGAGAAATATTCCCTGTTTGTGTTTTAGGTTCGATCATGACAGTGAATTGAGAATAATTAGGTCTTGCCATTAATTGAAATCTAGCTGAAGAATTGCTCACGTTTTGTAGCATGATAACTTTCTACAATGAAGAGGAATTAAAAGAAGTAGAGAGAGGAGAGATAGAATAGTATTAAAAAATTATATTTTTTTATATACCCGATATAATTTATTCGATTCATAATTACGAAATTCCACAGAATTAGGGATTGCAATTAAAATTGTTTTTCGTAATTTTGGCTTTGA